ATACGAAATCGAAGGACTTTAGATTCAGTCGGTCGGTGCTCGAGCGAGATACCATCCACATCGTTGTGATCAGCAGCGTGAGTAGTCAACCTGTGCTAGGGGTAGGTCTTTCTATTTTTGACATATCTTCCGTAGTTTGGTGCGGGTTTTCATGAGCAGTGCTAAGGATATGTTGGGCACAGCTACGCATGCTTGTGGTAACTACAGCGGTGTGGGTTTGGTGGCTGTCAATGGAAATATCATGTTTCTGACGTTGTTAGTGCGCGCAAACTAAGATCTGTGTTGTAGATGACGCGGTTGGTGCGTTGGGCCTGGATCGGAACACCGCACTGTTGCTGTAGCAGCGGTGTAAGCTGTGTAAGGACGCCGCGTACTTCGTTGGGCGACAAATCGTACAATTGGAAGGGACGACCTATGCCAGTACCTCGCTTGGCATGATGAAGCCAATCGGTGAGCCCCATGACGTCAGCCTCGGACGCTGCATGGTAGACTTCTTTGAGGCACCGAATTGGCTCTGTCAACGTACGCTTGTCTACGCCGGGAGTAATAGGTCGATGATTCTGATGTGTGTCAACTGTACCGAGCGACGTGTTTCGGTTTTGGGCAATGTCGTCGTTGGGCCCAGGAAGCGTCAGGAATGTGGGACGCTGGAGCCATGAGAGAGGCTGCTGGTTCTTCAACTCGCTGAGAAGCTCGAGCACGTGGTCGAGTGCTTCTGCCAAGTGCTGCGTCTCATCGTATGCACTTCCTTCTGGTTCGTCTGTCTGGTTGCCGGGCACCACCATGCATCGGTGCAGCGCGAGGAGACGATCTCGCAAGTCACAGCTGATCGTAGTCTGGCTTTGGGCCTCGGCCAGAGCATCTTCGAGGGCTGCGATGTTCTACATGAGAGCGCGTTAGTGCAATACATGGGACCTACAATTACTTGTCTGAGGTGGCCCATGGACTCGCGCATTGATGCCAAGATAGCACGCTCTTCGATCTGCTCTTCTTCCAAGCCGCCGAGGCGCGCCTTGTCGCTTTCATTCTGCACTCTCAAGCTCTCCATCTGCGCTGCGACGCTCTCGATATGCGCCTGCAGGCTCCCGATCTGGGTCTTCTGGTCCTCAATCTGGGTCTTCTGGTCCTTTATGGCTTCCATCGCCGCAGCGTACTTGGTCTCGACGTCGCGGGAGGCTTCCAGCTCGACCGACAGGCTGCGCAAACGAGCTTCGTACGGCGCCATGACGCTGGCCACGTCGATGATCGGCGATGGCTCGGGCGCCACGGTCGCCGTGTTGACCGAGCGTCGCTTCTCCGCCAGTAGACTGGGGTTGCTTGTGCGCCGCTCCTTCTTCTCGACAACGTACCGGCGTAAACTCGTCTCAGCGTGCACGAGGCGGTTCTCAAGCTTCATGGCTTCGCGCTCGAGGCAAACGCACTTGTCGTTGAGCCGCCCGACCTCCTGGTGCAGCTCCTTGTTGGTCTTGAGGAGGAAGTTGACTTCGTAAATGGCTTCGCAGCGCTGTTTCCAGCACAGTTCGTGTTTCCCCGCCCAGTCGTCGCACTCGTTGCGGGCACTTTGAAGGGCCGCCTCGAGCTCGTGCACGGTGGCTTGCAACACCTCATTGGAGGCCAGGAGCTGCAAGCCAGCGTGCGCCGCCGCGTGCAAGTCTCCAAGCGAGTCTACGCATATCCACTTGCTATCCAAGCATCCAGCTGCAAGTCGCACCGACCTCTGCGCTCGTCGCTGCTCATGAAAACCCGCACCAAACTACGGAAGATATGTCAAAAATAGAAAGACCTACCCCTAGCACAGGTTGACTACTCACGCTGCTGATCACAACGATGTGGATGGTATCTCGCTCGAGCACCGACCGACTGAATCTAAAGTCCTTCGATTTCGTATCCCAACGATATGAGCCGTCTACGCAATCTAGAACAACACCACTACTACATTCCCATTCTTTCACGACTACAGTATATCCATCGAAATCGATGCTTATCCCAAGCGTCCTCGGTCAGCGCGTCGCGGCTCACACTTTCCCACTTTCATATTTGCTTCGCGCTTCCCACCCTCATCAAGATGCAGTTCCGCTACCTCGTCGTCTTGCTCGCGTCGGCTGCGATGGCGTCC